TGAATTATATTGCAATGAAAAAAACAAGATGCTTTATTTATTTATTTATTTATTTTTTACTAGAGAGAGTTGGGGGTTGGGGGAGAGGGTGAGGGAGAGAGAGAATTTTTAGCAGCTTCCAAGCCCAGTGTGTGAGCCTGATGTGGGGCTCAATCTCAAAACCCTGAGATTGTGACATGAGCTGAAATAAAAAGTTGGGCACTTAACTGACCTGTCCAGGCACCCCCCCACCCACCAAATAAAGTGCTTTTCAAAAGGAGGTGGGGTGTTTGAGGTAGCCTCTAGGTTCCTTTCTAGCCTCTGTGGCACTTTGTTCAGAGGGTACCATGAACCAGCGGTTCAGATTGACAACTCCGGTTCTCTTGCCGTCTGTTCCATGTGCCGCTGCTGTGGATTTCTCAGGGGGCTCGGGTTCTTCTCTTTCTTCTCCAAAGCACAGCTCACACGAGGTGGCCATGTTTGACACACTTCACTAACCATTGAGGATATTTAAAGAAATTGCATCACAGAAAAGCGACACTTAAATGTGCCCCTGTTATGAGGCTCTTTTTGGGTGTCCAGGTAGCTCCTAAGCACTGGTTTATACCCAGGTCCCTGGAATGCTGCCATTTCCTTAGTGGGACATGCTCTCCCTCGGCCAGAGCAGCAGAAACCCTGAATCACGAACTGTCAGCTCCCACTCAAATGCATGAGCCAGCTCTCCACCCCTGCTGCCACCATCGCCTTCTGAAAGCTGCCAGATTCTGTGAAGCATGCTTGAGTCCTGCTTTGATGGTTGTAGAGTAACCACACACAAATATCTTACCTAATCGAAGCCCTGTGCTAAGTCCGTTGCCTGCTAAATGGACAGGGATTTGTGACAGCTGCTTCCTTGTTCACCCAGGCAGGATCCATTAATGTTGTTTCAGCAGGACTGGGTCAGATGGGCAACCAGCCACAGCGGGACCATGGCCTTAGACAACCTACAAAGATGAAAAAGATTTGGACTTCAGCAGTTGTCTATGTAAAAGAGCCCAGGCTCCAAAACGTCTCAGTGTCTGCATCACTAACCCGCCCAGGCATCCCGCTGTTTTCAGCCAGGAGAAGAACTTTAAAACCATGCTCTTGCTGTGGGTAAAATCTTTTCTGGAGCTTCTAATAGACTTCTCTAATACCTTTCTGCCCAAAGTGGGGTCATGGGGCCACTCCAGACCAGCGACTGTTAGGCTTGTGAAAGCAGGGCTCTGCGAGCAGGCATGCAAGGTAATGGGTGTTGGGAAAACGGCCAGTGGGATCTGCACAAGATTGTTACACTGAAGATGTAGTGATATATTTTAATGTGTGTGATACTACTGACAGGAAAAATGAATGTCAGAAAGCATTCAGAAGACAGGTCACAGATCATTTGAAATGGACGATTCGTGTTTACTTTCTCTGTCTTGATGGTTGTCGATGTTTACCTCTGCCTAAGGTAGCCAGTCTTCTGGGTTTGCCTGGCTTGATGAGAAGCCTGCCATTCATGTGGGGGAAGTGTAATCTCTCACCATGACTATTTCAGCACTTTTTCAGGTTTTCCATTAACAGGTTCAGGCACTCTGGAATGATTTTGTTTTCTGGGTGAGCAGTTTGGGGCATATGCATTTCCCTACCCGTTTCTGGAGTGGGAGAAGGAAGAACAGATACCTTCTTTTCCAAACACGACGTGAGAAAACAATCACCGATTGTTTGGTAACAACCAAACCAATTTCTAAAGTGCACAACCTGTGAATCAGGAAGTTTAAGACAGGAAGGTACAGTAATATAAAGGAGACTATTCTTGTCCTCTGGGGACTCACAATTGTCTGTAACTATTTGTGCATGGAAGTGGTGTTCATTAAATATGGTAGAGTTACACAGTCACCTAAAGGACCCTGGAAGTTACTGTTTCACACCTCAGGATGCAAGGGAAGCCAGGAGCCCAGACCAGGTGGATGAAGCCAAGGAGATGATGAATCACATTTTTGGTGAAATGTGGGTCCCTGCTGGGGAGAGCCTTGTGAGCTGTGTGGTTCAGACTGCAAAGCTGTATCAATACATAGTTCCCAGAGTCATGGGAGCATTGTGAAAACTAGCCGTAGATGAGATGCTGTTGCCGAAGAGTAGTCCTAGGAATGCCCCTTAAAGAGTTTCTAGTATTATATATGATCCTTAGAAAGATGTGCAGGTCTTTGCATTATCCCTTACCAGGTGGAAAAGTGAAATTTCCTGGACAAGATTTCCCTTCAGAGGTATTGGCAAACTGTTTTGATGACCAAGGGCCTTCCTTCCAGCTGCCCCCTACAAAGCTCATAGAGAAGAAAATAGAAAGTGAAATTTCTTAAAGTGTGGTGATTGTTTAACAGTAAAGTGTCTTTAGAATTGGAGTTCCTTTGAGTGAGGCAGTATCTCTAAGATTTCTGTCCATTTTTCCCAAGTCCTTGGACCTCCTGGGACAGTGAACATGGAGAGGCCGTGCAGCTTGTGTACATACAAGGAAGGACCTTCTCTCTGTGGCTGATCCTGGGGCTCTTGTAGTGGAGGTCTGCCTCCAAACCTCAACTCCCTTTTGCCTTGACCGGAAGGCTCGGTAGGAACTGTGAGAGGAGGTCCAGGACCTTGAGCCTAAGTGGGGACTGGGAATGTGACATATTTGTATGATAGATGATTGCTTCCCTTATCACAATACTCTTGGCCACCTATGATTTTGGGCTTGAGGACTTGCTGTAATCCGTCTGATAAAAATAACACTGAGAGGAAGCCCCTGTGAGCACGAGGGTTCAGCCTGTGGGTTTGTTGCTGAGCAGTGATGAGGGAACTGGCCTTGTCTGGGGGTGCACTGAGCTGCCTCTTTCTGGATTCTGGTTCCACTTCAGAGATGAGGCTTGTGGGTCCTGGGTCCTTTGTTGAGGCTCTGGGTTAGAAACTCTGGAGACACAGTGGTGGTATGAGTTCCTATCCAGCCTGGTGTGTTCGATGATGTTGGAGTCAGGCAGCCTGGTGTCAGGCTGGATATCCCAGGACCGCACGGATGCTGTAGCCCTTGGGGTGCCTGGGGACAGGACTGGGAAGTGGCCTCCAGCCATAAGGGAAGAGGTTAGTCTGGGAGCCATAATGGCGGCTGTCTCTCCTCCAGCCCCATGCAGTTCAGTAGGAACAGAGCTGGTATTTCGATCCTCCATTCCTAGCGACTCCCTCCCCAGTGCCCACAGCGTTGCTCAGGGGAGGTAGAGCCCACTTCAGGAGGTTCAGCTTCTGTTTTGCATTAGACTGACCCCAGGATTCTGGAAGGAAGAGTCAAACAAGCTGTGCAGGTGAGAATTGCCCTTGTTAGAGAGTATTCGTAAGATGGGTCTGGTGAGGGTAAGGACAATATGCCCAGAGGGGAAAGGGTTTGGAATGTTTGCCAGTGTTCTCATCTTGTCCATGCTACCTGGTCGCAGGGCAGAGCACCATTAAGAAAGTTGCCTTCCTAGAATTTTAGAGCATATTGTGATCTGTCCGTGATAGTTTTTGGGGGCACATCGTCAAGGAGTGCCTGGACAATGTCCTCCTAACCCTGTCTCTGACACCTGTGACACTCTGTATCTTCTCATTTTGGTAACAAAGTAGACACTGACTTAGACTTGACTCATTAAGTGGGGAGCTAAAAGCCCTAAATTAAAATGTGTGAAAAAGCATTTTCTAGTATTAAAAACTTAACCAGATAGGTGAGTTGAGCAAATTCTAATGAGAAAAGATCAATTTATGTTTCTGTACATTCAGTGGGTACATTATATGTACTCTTTTTAACCCAACAGGGCCAGTGTGTGGCTCTTTCTAATTATTCCTGTATTCCTGCATTCTCTATGATTATTTGTTTATTTTTAAGTTCTGCACCCAATGTGGGGCTTAAATTCATGGCCCCAAAATCAAGAGCCTCATGATCCTCCAACTGAGCCAACCAGGTGCCCCTCTAAGTTTACATGTTCTACAGTATTTGCGCAATTTTGCTACTCATTAATTTCCTAAATGCCTTAAGGTCTAGAGTTCATCTGGTCTGCTTTATTTCATGGTTTTTAGAGAAAGTTTCTTTCTTTATACTTTAGTGTCATGATGGCCTTGGAAGGACAGTCTCAACAGGCTTCCTCTCTGTTATGTCATGTCCCCTAAAGGAGAGGGATCTGTGTTGTCATTTCTTAAGGCCTGGCCGGGAGGTGGTGAGAGCCTGGAAACAGAGGGGCCAGGCTGGTTTGCTGAGAGCTGATGGTGCACAGTGCATGGTTCTAGGCTGATCTCAGCCAGCAACAGGAAGTCCCACTTCATCATCTACTTGAAAGCTCTCTGCTAGGGACACAGTGTGAACTTTTAGTTTATATTGGTTAAGCTCCAAGAAGCAGTACATGTTTGGGGAATTGAAGAGCTCATGGGCAGGACCAGGGAAGATACACCTTCCCCACCAGATTCCAAGCTGTTTCCACACTGATAAGACACAACAGTGACCCAGAGCTAGAACCTCAGGATTATCAGGGAGTGAGAAATGCTGGTGAAAAAATGGACGGCTATCTCATGTATATACACTTGTATCAATATTAACATGCAGAATTGTAGGCCAAGTGGTATTTTTGTTGTTCGAGGGTCTGGATGTGAATCCTGATTCTGCCTCTTGGGAATATGGATTTGAAATGTTAACCAACACTTCTCTGAATGCCTTTCTTCATTTGTAAAATGGAAATAATGGGCTTACTTATCTCAGCATGTGGTTATGAGAATCAAATGAGGGAACGCGTATGGACTCATAAGCAACTGTTAGTTGCTAATGATGATATGCTTCCTGCGGAATGTTATTTCTTGAATCCTATATATTTCTAATATAACCCTAGACCTGGAAGTCATAACTGGTTCTTTTTCTACTTGTGCAACAAGTGAAATTTGGCATTGGGTTCTGGAAAGTTTGAACGAATTCTTGGAATCAGCCAGTTATGTGAAAGATGGCTCAACCTTTCGCTTGTCTTTTTGCCCAACAGTGTGCCATGTAAGAAGTGCGTGGTGGTTGGTAATGGAGGAGTTTTGAAGAATAAGACATTAGGAGAAAAAATTGACTCCTATGATGTAATAATAAGGTAAATATATTTTCTATTTGCTAACTTGGAATTGTTTCAAAAGACAAGTTGCTTAGATATATTTAAGTACATTAACATAACCAGTCTCTCATTCATCGACTAGATTAGGCCTAGATTTTTCAGCTCATTCACTTAGAAAATATTGTGAAGTCTGCAGAGGAAGGAGGCTGTATAGGTCTGTGTAAGTACTTGGATTTTAAGTATAATAGGAAACCTTTGAAGACTTTTAAGCAAAAGAGAGATTTGATCTGGTTATGTTTTTAAAATAACTTGGCTGTGGTATGGACAATGGGATATGAGGGACAAGGGTAGAAATGAAGAAGCCAGTTAGGTGGCTATATTCAGGCAGATGATGGTGGCTCAGAAAAGGATTGTCATGACAGGGAAGGATGTAAGTGGATAGACTGAGACATGTTCTAGAGGTAGAGTTCTCAGGATTTGTTGATGTTAGATGTGAGGAGAGATGGGAATAAAGGAACCACATAACGCCTTCTGGGTTTTCAGCTTAAGAGATTGACTGGATAGAGGTACCATTTATTGAGTTGGGGGAAGACTAGGGTAGGAAGATCTTAAAGGAAAATCAAGATTTCTGTGTGAACATGTTAGGTTTGAGATGCTTATTAGATTTGTAGTGTTAAATCAAGTAGTCATTTGGTTAAACAGGTTAAAGGCTCGATGGTAAACAGCCTATGAGCTATATTAAACCATGGTATCAGCAAGATTTCCCAGGGAGAAACAGAGCAGAGGTCCCAGGACGAGTCTTGAGATATTCTATACTTGGAGGTTGAGCAAAAAAAAAAAAAAAAAAAAGAATTAAGAGAGATGGAAGAGGATCTACCAGTGAGGTAGGAAGTGTTTTAAAAGAGAGGAGGAGTCAACCATGACCAGTGCTGGCGAGAGGTCATGCAAGATAAGAACAGAGAGTTCACCATTGGACTTACAACCTGAAGCTCACTCAGACTCTTGGCAAAGGCAGACGTGGAGACCTGATATGGGGAGTGGCCCAACCAGAGTGGTTTGAGGAGAGAATGACAGGTGAGAAAGTGAGAAACCCATGTAGGCAATTCTCTGGAGTTTTGCTGTGGGGTTGAGAAATGAGATGGTAGCTGGAGATAGTTATGGAACAAAGGAGGCTGTTTTGTTTTGTTTTGTTCCTTTTACAAAGATAGGAAATTCTAGAGCATGTTGGTAAACTGATGAAAATGAGTGAAGAGATGGGTGTGGTAGCGAGCTGGGATGGGGCTTGAGCACAAGTGCAGTTGGTCCTCTGTAATTAATAGAAAGAAAAACTGGGATTGTAGCTACGGCTACCAAGAGTCCCACAGATGGAGTGGCGGGAAAATGAGGGCATTTCTAGCTCTGTTTTCTCATCGAAAGGTTGAAGTAAGGTCATCCTGTGTTGTGTGTGTTGGGAATAGCTATGAATAGTCTTTTGAAGAGAAGGGCAGTGCGTTAGGATGACCTGACAGTACTTGGGGGTTTTGCTGGGTTACGAGCTGCCAAGAGCTTCTGCATAGTGAGGTCACCTTATTTTCTGTTCACTGTCTGTTTTGAGAAAGCCGTGAAAATTTATCCGCATGACAGTTTTGAAACACAGGTTTCTTTACCTTTAATTGTCTAAACGTTCGATCATCCAGAACCACAGCAAACCCTTGTCGAGACTGCTACGGGCACAGCATTTATGAAAGTCATTTCGAGTGTTGAGACTGTCTTACATTACATGGAGTCAGTGGCAAAGGGTGAAACAGTATTTATGCTCCCAGGGGACACTGTTTTGGAAACAAAGCATTCTTTTTAGTAGCATGCCTTCATAGTGTATGTGTAAATAGTGCATGTCTAACTTTGGCACTGAGCATAAAACAAATCCAACCGTGGATCCTTTGTGGTTCTTTAGTTCACTCTAGCAGTAACATTTATTTGGTTGTGAGTGGGTATAATATGGCAGTTTTATATTTTCACTTTTTTACAGAGCTCAACAATTTTAATGGGTCTTCAGATCACCTTCAGTGTGATTCTTATCTGTCAGTCCATGTGCTACATGACTGTGTAACCTTGGACAAGTAACTTTCCCTCTCTCTGCAAGGCCCTTCTCCAAGGGGTTTTGTCTGGATGTCCTCCAAGGTCTTTTTTAACTCTAGTATTCTGTGGTTCTGTGTTCCCATTGTTTTATTTAGTCTTCGGTTTTCCTGGAGGTGGGACTGAATTATCAGTGGCCCCACAATTACTTTTCAAATCCAGATGAACATTTCTGCCTTCAGTCAAGCAGCTGTTTCATGAAAGGGAATTATTTCCTTAAAAATAGGAATTTTAAAAAGTTGTCTTAAAAATAACCTTATCTTGTAGCTTTAATAAGCACTGGACCCATGGCTACTGCTGTTTGTCCTATTCTGAAAGTTCTGAAACTTGTGATGGAATTGGCACATACTACACTTGGTCTACATATTTCGTGTGTTTTACTCCCCACAGAATGAATAATGGTCCTGTTTTAGGACATGAAGAGGAAGTTGGGAGAAGGACAACCTTCCGACTTTTTTATCCAGAATCTGTTTTTTCAGATCCCAATCACAACGATCCTAATACTACGGCAGTTCTCACTGCTTTTAAGCCGCTTGATTTAAAGTGGCTGTGGGAATTGTTGACGGGTGGCAAAATAGTAAGTTGGCAACATTGATCTGCCTTCTGATTACCTTCAATTTTTGTTTTTTATTCCATTAAAAAGAAAAAAGACCACCACAATGTTCTGTTTTCTGTGTTCTTATTTTATTTCAGAACACTAATGGTTTTTGGAAGAAACCAGCCTTAAACTTGATCTACAAACCTTATCAAATCAGAATATTAGATCCTTTCATTATCAGAATGGCAGCTTATGAACTGCTTCACTTCCCAAAAGTGTTTCCCAAAAATCAGGTATGTATTTTGCTTTTTTGCACAGTTCCAAGCTAAAGATCTGGCTAGGGTAGGGTGGAGAGATCATAGGGTTATCAGAAAAAATGAGAACCATGACTCGTGAGGTGGCGGTAGTGAAACTAGGTATCTGTGGGTATTATGTTTGTTTTTTAGATGGCAAGGAAAGAACTGGAGTGTTCTGGTCCGCCCTACTTCGCCCTTCCGGAGCCCTTCTGGGGTCTCCTCCTACATGCCCCAATGACTCAGTTCTCCTAACCTCCATCTGCAGAGTTCTGCGATGAGGAGAGACTGACTGATGGGGGCGCTGCTGGGCAGGCTCTGCTGAGAGTAGCAGGACTGGGCTTCCCGACAAGCACGGGACTATTCAGGCTAAAAAGAACCCTCCAGCACTCTGATAAAAATATCACAGGAAAGTTGGTGGAAAGGTGAGGAAGGACAGGACAGTTTGGAAATATTTCTGTGGTCATAGAGACACTGGCACTGAATTCTGAGGAAATGTTGAAACTCCAGATTCTTCAATTAAAAAGAGTCTCACCAACTTTGGCTCTTGTAGCCCTTTTTGTTTACATTCCCTAGAAGACAGTACCCTCTGGACCCACACAGTGGCACGGATAGGTTTTTCATTTCAAGCTTGAGAAACTGTGATATAATGTCTCGGCTGAAATGAGGTTTCTTTTTGTAATCAGGGAAAATCCAAAGAAATAAATACACCTCACATATCTTCTTTTTTTAGTATGATAAAAAATTCTAAACTTTAGAATTATTAGATTCTAATGCTTTTAATGAAACCACTTATAAAAGAATATATATATCAAGTACATTTTATGTTTAATTTAAATTATGTATTCTATTAATATATTCTGTTATTATATATTAATATTTATATATATAAAAATAAAGGAAATCATCCTTCTTTTCACACTGTAACTCTCATTATTCCTCAAGCTTTTTTTTTTTTCTTTTTATATCCTTCTGGACTATTTTCTATGCAGTTACACATACTTTTTTGTTCAATATAATTACAATTATACCATAGATACTTTCTGCCATTTCCCCCCTCCATTTAACTATTCCCCTCTTTATAGATCTTTCCGTTAATATCCAGCTTTTTTCCTCCCTAATTTATTTAGAAATGCATGTGATTATAGGGATTTTCAGCCCACTTGTGTGATTTTTGTAGAATAGACTCCTAGAAGTGGAATTCCCAAGTCAAAAAGCATAAAGCCTGGTTCTGGAAATGTGAAGTCATATTGATTTGGACAAGAAAAAAATAAAGGAAGAAAGGCCTGCTTGAATTAGATTAAAGAGAACATGGGACATGAGCAAGTGGAGGCAAATCTTTGGAGTTTTGTTGGGAAAGGGGGCACAGAAATGGTTGAAAGACACGGGATCAAGGATGGTTGCTTTTATGGTTGTTTTAAAGCCAGATGCCATGTTTATATGATGGAGAGAACGATTTGACAGAAGAAAATGATGAGAGCAAGGGGTTCATTGTAGATGCAGATTTGGTGGCAGAGAAGAGACGGGAGGAAAGAGTGCAGGAGGGGCGAGGTTGGCCAGAGGCAGGGACAGGCACATCGCATCCATGGAAGAGTGAGCGCTGAAAGTACAGGTCAAACTGAAGGTAGATTGGGAAGTTGGGAAGCTGGTATAGATAGCTCTTCTGTTTCTGTTAGTGAAATGAGGATTAAATGGTCGGTTTAAAGGAGGAAGGAGAATGAGGCTGTTGGATATAAAGGTATAAAATTGTCACCTTGGGGAATAGGAATGGAAATTTGCTAGGGGAATACTGCACAGCCACTTGAGACTTTGGCCATAAATGTCACGTGTACCTGGGCACGTATGTTGTTTTCTCTTGGCTTGTTATGCTGCTTGGTTGTGGGTTGAGCCAGGGTTAAGATTGTCAGGTGATGAACTATTTCTGTCTGTGGGTGCAGAAAATGGAAGGATTATAATGATGGATGAAGGCCTCTTAGGCATGAGGAAAGGAAGTGGAGGTCATGATGGGGAGGGAAAGAGTGATGGGATCAGTGAGGTTGAATGACTCCCAGGTTGTTAACCCAACCACTAATTTCCATTTCTAGCAGATGGCAAAGGCTTATGGTGTTCACCATAGGGCATGGGGTAAAGAAAAGCTTATGCAAAAGGTAGTTAAATTTTCAGAGGAGCTTGCCTCCTGGAGTTTATTTGATATTGTTGTGCTTCTTGGGTATTTTTTTCTCCTCCTCAAAATCATAATGTGTCATTTCCATGGAATCTGTAAGTCATACGTTGATGGAAAGGAAATCTCCTTAGATGGCTGTGTTAAGATGTAAATAGTTTTTGCCTTTAAAGGCTGTCCAGGTGAGAATTAAAACAGAATGGAAATCCTTCCGTCAAACATCTGTTACTGCATTTTTAGGAGATATGTGTATGTGAGGGGGGGATGCTTGGTTTCTTTCCTTTTTGATTTTTAAACTGATAATGATCCAGTGGAGACTGTGACATTACTCTGTATACATCTGGACTTTTTATTTTCTATAGAAGTCATAATCTTATTATTTGCCATTGAAGTTAATTGACTAGTCTTTCCCCAGAGCTAGTTAAATTATTAGAATTTTAAGAGATCTCTTTTAAGGCTTATGTGGAGCCACTTACCATGATCCCATCCATTAGCGAGTTAACCTGTCCTTACGTTTCCTGTATGGGTTGGAAATCCTCAGGCTCTGCTGTTTGCACAGGAAGCCTGACTCAGCATGTATTATAAAAGGAGGCAGCATCTTTTTCCCTGAGCTTTTTTTCTTCATTTGATAGTTGTCCTCTGGGCTAATACTATAGTTAAGTTTTATTTGAAAGATTTTCCAAGATTTTCATCACATTTATATGCTTTTCAGAGTTAGGAAATTAACCGGGGTTTGGGTCTTAGACATGATGAGGGTTTAACTTAGGTAATTCTCACCTGGTATGTGTTCAGAAGTCCCGGTTTTATAACGAGGTCACCCAGCTTTGGAAACATCTTGTTTGAGTTTTAAAAAACCTTTTGTTTCCTTCCCCAGAAACCCAAACACCCCACAACAGGAATTATTGCCATCACGTTGGCCTTTCACATATGTCATGAAGTTCACCTTGCTGGTTTTAAATACAACTTTTCTGACCTCAAGAGTCCTTTGCATTATTATGGGAATGCCACCATGTCTTTGATGAATAAGGTAATACATACCCACTTGGGTATATCTTTGATCTTTACAGTCAGAAAGCCTCTATTTTCTGTTTCCGCATTTTTACTGAGGGAACAGCTTTTGAGTGTGAAGAGCTGCTTAACCCTACCAAGAGCTACCAAAGGCTGAAACTGGGACTCAGATCCAGGCAGTTCCAATCTGTGGGTGTCAGACCCTTGGGAATAGGACATCGTATCAAACCCGTATGGACACCAAGCCTTATCTTAGATCATGTTTGCAGTATACAAATATGCATGCAGGCCATTTGCTCTTGGTAATATCTCAAATTCACTTAAAAGCATTATCACAGAACAGGGACACTCATCCACATAAGAGGATTGAGCACTGAAAACACGGGAAAGATGAAGGTAAATTTGGAGTTGAGAAGATGATGTAACTTCTTGCTGTGCTTTTCAACCTTTTTTTTTTTTTTAAGTAGAGGAGGAAGTCTGTGACATTTTAACGCCATGAGGGAATATTCATGGTCAAAAAGGTTTCAGACATTTATAGTAGATCATGCTTCTCTTGAATTAGAGATCAGTGGCGGTACATAGGATCTTTAAGACTTAATTGAATAGGTAGGAGTTGTCTGAGGTTAGTAGCATATCACAGGTGACAGGACTAAAATGTTATCTGTATATTTTTAATATGGAAATATGAATAGTTTGCTGTTAGGTAGGGATATAGCCTGTGTAATCAGTCCCCTTAGATCATCATCCTCAGACACTACCATAAGCCAAAGGTTAGACCTTCGTATTATTATATTACTTCATCTCCACCCCTTGTGAGACAGACACTTGAGTAGTGTTAGTTGCCTAGGACAGACTACAGGATCATTTCTCCTCAGTCCTAATCTTTTAGCACTCCTGGGATTTCTAGTCATCTATATAACAGAACACTGAAACAATTTCCTGAGGAAGATTAGGATATCCATCAATAGAATAATTAAAAAAAAATTCTCTTATGCATGCTTTATAATAGTTTCTTTGGGCTGATTTCTGTGAGTTTCAGGTGCTGCTTTTATTAAAGTGATCAACCCATTTTGACTTAAAATTCTGGCCTCTAGTTTTATATCCTGATTTAGGAGACGGGGGAGGGGGGAATGATACGAAGGGGTGCTCTTAGGTGAGGGTTTAAGTGGAAACAGCAGGCTAAATTTAGGAAACACTCTGGCAAAAGAATGAGCAAAGAGAAAGGTAACAAAAGTTAAAAGTCTACCTGTATACTTGTGACTTGAGTTTTTCATTCAGAAGCTTTTCAGATATACTGTAGTCCATTATTCCTGCTAACATTTTGAGACTGGGATAGATGGTGATTTTATTTTCCTTTTCTTCTCTAGAATGCATATCACAATGTGACAGCGGAGCAGCTCTTTTTGAAGGACATTATAGAAAAAAACTTTGTAATCAACTTGACTGAAGATTGACTCTACAAACTCAGAAGATGATGCTAACAGTATTAGTTTTATTTTTATATGGCAGTTTTTAGTTTATTTTTAAATATGTTGGATGCACTTGTCAAAAAATTGTGTATATTAAGTCTGTTGCTGCCTGGTGATTCATAACCACCAGCTTAATTTCTGTGAATATATTTAATTTATAAAAACCAAGATATGTTTAGTTATCAGGGAAAGTTTTGATTGCATTGTTTTTAAAACAAGCTAGTTTTCCGAAGTGTTTCTAAACATCTTTTTATATTGACTTCATCTTAGACTTTTGAGGGGATGTGACTTTCTAATAAGGGGCTTTAGCTGACCAATTTTTGAACACATTTGGCTACTCTAAATTGGTGGGGAATGGCCATGTGGTTGTGCCTTGATACGGCAGACTGGAGCCACTTTCAGCATGTAGCCAGATGATTGTCTTGTACCTGAGGAAACAGATTTGAATCTTAAAGCAGCCCTGAACACAGCAGTAGGTATGGTTATGGAAATCTAAGATCAGACTGGTTTCATTAAGCTTTTTTTGTCTTGCAGTTAAGTAAACCATGATTGTAATGAGTAATCTGGAAGGTGTGTTTTTAAGGTGAAGGAAATAGACTAAACATGAAATTCTGGACGAGTAAATAAGCCAAGAATGCCACTTACCAAAGCCTAGTGACTGCATTATTTTAAAGCTCATACAAGGTAGCAGAGCTTGGCAAGCTCAAGGAAAGCATTATTAAATTTTTTGCCTGGCCTAATATATTAAAATGTGAAAGTTTACTATTGGAATTAAATTAGAAAAAAATGAAGATAAATCCTTGAGACTCCTCCTCAAGCTGTTTCTGGATTTAAATGGGACTTTCACGAGAGATTTCAACTTCAAAGGGGAAGGCTTACCTGGCTACCTAGGGTGCATCAGAGAAGAGTCCTACTGGATGCAAACAAGTCAAAACCAACCCTTCGAACAAATGTGAGCTAGTGTCCCTTCTCATTTAATCCAGCCCATGGCTATGGGGAGGGAAAAAGGAAGAGAAGAGAATTACAAGGATGGAATTAAAAATTCTCAGAAGAGGTAAGAGTTGAAAGAACTGTTATCTTTTTGAACAATAATTATCACTGGGAGTCACGCTGGTGCTACTGGGAACCAACCAGCCTCTCTAAAGATTATGTCAAACGCAGTATAAGAGGGGAGAAAACTCCTAGTTGATGTAAGCCAGATCTACACATGAAACGTGGACACTGTTCTGTTAGCACCAGCACACTTGCACAGTACCATGGTTTCACTGGATTCCTCCAGTAACTGAGGTGGAAAACATGGGTGTTCGTGTGACCCTGCCCTCCTACCACATAGCCAGAGTTCGCTGCTAAATTTCAGTCTGTGAACTAATTTAGGCTTCAAAAATGGATGGTCCTGGCTGTAGTAAAAATAAAAAACCACTGGTAGCATTTTCAAATGTTACTATAAGGTTTAGAATAATGGCAGGATAATTTCTGACTGATGCTAAAACTGAGAAGTCTGGCATTTTGTGTAGTATGAGAGAAGGCTACAAACTTCAACATGGTTTTATATAAGCCCAAGGAAAGTCTCAGCAAGACACATATATACAATTTATTAAAAACACATGAACACATTAAGATCTCACTATTTATACAATCTAGATTCTAGCAACATATACACATACTGAGTGACTACAGTACATGCCGAGGTAAGAAAAGTACATTCCGGAAGAATATCACTGACCCTCAAGCCATTTTTATTTCCAATATGTATTTCAACATGTTTTGTTTCCACCTTTCCCAGTGCCAAAAAAGAAAAAAAAACAAAACTAGTCATAAATTGGTGCCACAGTTGAGCTAAAAAGTATGTTAATAACCATCCAACTCTTACTTGATTTTGCAGTTCAGGGACTTAAAGTTCATGGCAGAAAAGCAGAGCTAGAAGGCAGTTTTTTAAAGGTAGAGCTTAGTTATCTCTCTTTAAAGGGTTTGAAAAGTTTTTGTCCCACAATCTATTAGTTCTGTCCTTTGACCTATTGTTTCCATAGCCCTTTTGCTCTCCAGGTTTTAATGTGGGGCCAAGGCAAAGAAGTTCAAGCTTTGTCACCTTCTATAGAATTTTAGATGAGTGCATTTTCTGCTGGGGGCAGGGAGGGTAAGAGTATACATGACACCATAGTTTCAGCTGCTGGATAAATTCTCTACACCAGCCTTTTCACCAGCAGATAAACCCATTGTTCAATGCAAAGTGCAAATAGTGAAACATGAATTTAAATAACTGGACTAGACCCTACACATACAATAGGATCTATTTAGTGTTACAGGTTCTAAAAAATATAAATCAGCATTCACAATATCTTTAACTGGGCTGGTTCCCAAGATCATTTAACAGTGAAGTTGGTGTCACTTTATGAAAACCTGTAAGGGCCCTACTTCGCTGTACCTCTGTTGGAGCCAATCTTTAAAATTGTGTTAACAGGAAAAAAAAAAAATTAATCCAATAAACCAGACTGACTTAAATCTTTAAGATGTTTCAAGCAGGGAATAAAAATTGAAGATAATTTAGTAAAGAAAAAAAAGTTACTTTCACATTTTCAGTTGATTGTCTCCACAGCTGCATCAGACATAAATGTAGTTAAAACCCAAAACAAAACTCATACGAAAACAAAGGAACTAAAAGTACAAAATCAGAATAACCCTTTGTATCAGGCTCAGCTCTTCATTTAAAAAGTAAATATACAAAAGCAATAAAAACTATTTTGTACAAAATCATTGGTAGTTTAAGGACCGCACGGTGGCAAAAACATGCATCATTTAAGAAGAAAACATTTGCCTCTCAAAGAGTTCCATGGGAAAATCAGGTGCACAAAATTAAATGAAAACAATCATCTTTGGGAGAATGAGATAATTTCTCTTAAAGCTTCTCAAACAGGCATGTGATTGGAGAAGTATATTCACTGTGTACTGAGGATGAATAAAAAAATAAATCGGTTTACTCTCTTCCCACCTGAAAGGGGATGACTGCATTAATACACGTGCTTTACACATTCATGTCTTAATAAAAGTTCAACATCTGTGCTTGTTTCAAATGTTTTGAAACAGTATATTTCTTCAATGAATAAAATGATGCCTCAAAGTTTGTCTGAAAAAGCAAATGAAGAGAACACCAACAAAATAATACTAGAGGGCGGAGAGGCTGTAGAAATAATTCTGCTTTTGAAGCAATACTTTAGAGTTCTGATATACCCATGGAAGCAAATGAAATGAACACTGTCTTTTCTCACATCTAGCAAATTGTGGAAACGACTGGGGGCACAAGCCAAAAGAAATGGCTAGAACCTGATGGGAAATTGTATGTTTTAATCATAGGGCCAGCTTCTCAGCCTGCCAAAGAGTTTTAAGGATTTTTAACACTATGGGCTAACAAATTACAGATGACTTTTATTTCACCCATCTAAAACTAGTTCTGGGCAAATAGTGAAAAAGAAGTTGCCTGGAAGTATCAAAAACAGACATCAATATTCACCGGCTGCTAGAACATCTGTTCCACAGGCCTGTGGTGAAGGACTGTCAAAACTCCCATGACACAGAGTGGGCACACTCACACAGAGGTGAGGAATTCATGCTGGCTTCCTATTTCCTTCAGTATTTCACTGTGGATAATTAAAAATACTTTTTGACCAAAAATAACTTCAGATTGAAATATATATATATATATATATATATATATATATACACACACACACACACACACACATATATATATATATATATATATATATATATATAAAATCAAAGAGGGCAAATCCATTTTTTTTTAAGGTACTTTATATGACTTCTGAGGAATGATTCCACCTTTCACTGTGGTAAACATAAAGGGTCCTATTTACAGTGTTCACTCAGATGGCCCCACAAGTACTCACAACTCACCTAGGACCAATCCCATTGCAAATAAAGTGAGGGGCAGGGAGAGAATCTCTGTTGGACCTTTTTAAAATTACAGGATTCATGAGGCTGGTGGAGCAAGCATCACTCATTAAAAAAAATTCAAAACCTTTAATAAACACAAGAATGGGGCTGGCCCCAGACAGAACAAGTAGGGATGAAACCAGGTCACGTACCATTTAAGTGTTAAAACTCTGAAGAGTGTCAAAAAGTGAAAAAAATCAATGACCCCGCCCTTTATAAGTCAGTTTCCCACCTATAGACCTTCCTAAGATAGGTAAGTGTACGACTGCAATCAAAAAATGATACCACTAATTTTTTTAAAAAATCCGTAAGGAATATAGGAATAGAAAAGAGCTTATGATAGTACCCACGTTTCACAAGAAAGCAACATTTCAAGCCATTAGACACTTCAAGAACAGTACCATGCGCTATTGCCCGTCAGGTGTACAGAGCCACCTCTTCAGTTCATCAACGTACCTGCAGCATTGGTAATAAATACTCTCAGTGATTTTTAATTTCTTTGAAGTGCATAGTAGGGAGCATTTTCTGTATCAAAAAATAGTGTTTTACAGTAGTAACAAACAGGATGTTTGCAATCGAACTGGCAAGCCGTCACTGCCACAGTAACACTTTTAAAGCAAGATGGCAAGATTAGTAGTTCCCTGTACCTCGGTCATCACATTTTCCCCAACCACATCTGTGACAGATACGTAATACATTCTATATATTACTACCACTAACACACAAAAAAGGCCATGTGCTTTAAAACGATGCTTTATAACAAGCAGCATCACCTTTAAAGAATTTCTTTAAAAACATCACATTCACCATCCCTCCCGGCTCCTGAAGCCTCCTGTGTGCTCTGTGGCACCTGGTACACCAACTCGTCTGGGGCACTGGCACCTGGCTTCCCACCTTTTGGGGTGTCATACTGCGCATGGGCGGAGGAGCAGCTGTCAGTCCTGGAGAGAAGAGTGTTGTAGGCTCCCACTAGTGGGGGAGGCTGGTTCCCTGCAGCTTTGAAAGTGGATGTTGAGGGAAGGCCCACTGAAGCTGTGGGGTGCCCGGACATATCCACGATGATTGGGGTTGCATATTCGGGCCCAGTAATTGGCAGTGGTTCAGCATAGGCGTGGTAGACTTCTTGGACCGGGGAGTTGTAAGGATCTAGGTCAGCGTAACTTGCTTCTTTCCCTTCTTCTGGTTTAAAGGTGGATCTCTGATGAAGGGTGCCAACGAGTCCTCCCACAAGTGGCTGTGCATACTCTGTGGAATTACAGAACAAACAACAGAAAAGTCACCTCATTCATACAGGGATCAGATATTCCAGGTGACAGTCGTAGCCTGACACCAAAACAAACACTTCTTTATGGCACTTTTGTTCCTATCAATACAGACCTAAGGATTTCTCTACCAGAACCAACTTAAAAAAATTGAACATGTTGGGGCACCTGGGTGGCTCACTGGGTTAAAGCCTCTGCCTTCAGCTCAGGTCATGATCCCAGGATCCTGGGATCGAGCCCTGCATCGGGCTCTCTGCTCAGCAGGGACCCTGCTTCCTCCTCTCCCTCTGCCTGCCTCTCTGCCTACTTGTGATCTCTCTCTGTCAAATAAATAAAATCTTTAAAAAAAAAAAATTAAACATGTTATCTTGTATCTCCTAAGAAGTTAACATGCTATAGAGTCTCATTCATGAAATTTTACAGAGAACGTATATGCTCTTCAGATTTACAAACAGTGTTATCACTGGGGGAAAAAAAACCATATCATTATTAGATATTTTCAAATAGGACAATGTTTAAAATAAATACGAACTAAGTTAACAGGATACATACTGTAAGGCTCACTATAGCTTTGCCACTCTTCACACTCAAATAAAACTCCAGGTAAACACACAGAAATGCCCAGAACTTTCTGGAAATGAATGTTCCTATATTTTGGAGAACATGGAAGGTGCAGAAATAACTCTCTCAAGGTCATCCTTTCAAAACTTAGTTCTACCTTAAGAAAACAGTTGACCCGTTACATAGGAAAAAGAGAAAAGACGCTAGAAATCCAGAGCACTTTCCAGCTACGTGTAGCAGTGTCTTCCTCCGCTCTGGTGAGGGCTGCACGCAGTTACCTGCAGAGTCGGTCCTCAGTGCCGCAGTGACTTCTCGGGGGCTCAAAGGATGGACTTCACTGCTGCTGTAGCGAACGGGGGTCTCCTCGTGTTCCACGGACTTGGCAGGGAGAAACTGCTTCATTCCTTTCCACCAACCTTCATGGTGATTGGAAGCAAGAAAGACCATTACATAAAAACCTAGGACTGAAATGATGACACTGTTTACGGGAGAAATCCTGCTGCATTTAAGCCATTTCTGTAACACATCTGTACAAAATAGCCTCTATGTTCAATCTCTTTTTTTTTTTACTCTGGCAAAATACACATTACATAAAATTTACCGTTGTAACCATTTTTGAGTGTAGGTCACGTGGCTTAAAACGTTCACACTGTTGTGCAACTACCACTACCATCTATCCCCGTAACTTTTCAGCTCATAAAACTAAAACTCTATTCCCATGAAACGGTAACTCCCCATTCGTCATCCCCCTACCAATGGCGACCATCACTTTACTTTCTGTCTTTATGATTTTGACCACTCTAAGTACTTCATCTAAGTGGAATCATACAGTATTTGTCTTTTTGTGACTGGCTTATTTTGCCTCACGTAATGTCCTCAAGGTTCATCCATCTTGTAGCATATTACAGAAAATCTTTCCTTTTTAAGGCTAAATAATATTCCACCGCTTGTATACAATACATTTTGCTTTTCCATTCATCAGCTGATGGTCAGGTGGGTGGCTTCCACATTTTAACTTAACAATATTAAATTTTCAATCCACGAACATAGGGTATGTTTTCATTTACATCTTTTTAAATTTCTTTAGTAATGTTTATAGTTTGTAGAAGTCTAGTACCTCTTTGGTTAAATGAACTCTTGTATTTTATTCTTTTTGATGGAACTGTAAGTGAAACTTTTTATAATTTCTTTTTCAGATCATTCACTTCGTGTACAGAAATGCAACTGATGTTAGTGTGTTGACTTTGTATCCTACTAGTTGGCTCAGTTATTGGTGCTAACAGTTTGTGTGTGTGTAATCTTTAAGGCTTAATTCTCTTTTAAATGTTTGGTAGGATTTTTTTTTTTTTCCAGAGATTTTTGATTATTGACTCAATCTCTTTCGTCAATTCAGATTTTCTATTTCTTTGTGACTTAGTCTTGGTAGCTTTTATATTTCTGGAAATTTGTCCATTTCATCTAGATTATTCAATTCTTTGGCATATGATTATTCATAATATTCTCATAATCTTTATTTCTGTAGAATCAGTAGTGATGCCTGCACTTTCTTTTCTGATTTAAGTAGTGTCAATCTTTTTTTTTTTTTAAGATTTTATTTATTTGACAGACAGACATCATAAGTAGGCAGAGAGGCAGGCAGAGAGAGAGAGGAGGAAGCAGGCTCCCCACTGAGCAGAGAGCCCGATGCAGGGCTCAATCCCAGGACCCTGAGATCATGACCTGAGCCGAAGGCAGAGGCTTTAACCCACTGAGCCACCCAGGCGCCCCTCAATCTGTTTTCTTATTCTATCTAAAAGTTTGTCAATTTTGTCAATCTTTTTGAAGAACCAGCATTTGACTTCACTATTTTCCCATTTTCCATTGTATTTCTCTCTCTTATCTTTATTATTTCTCTCCTTCTGGTAGCTTTGGGTTTAGTTTGTTCTTGTTGTAATTCCTTAAGTTGCTCAAGTCTTCCCCTCCCCCCTTTGGTGGAATATCTAGTGCAATGCAGAACATGGTAGAAATTCCCAATGGAAGTATACACAGAAGCAAAATCATTGCTCTAAAAGTGTTGGCAGATATAATTTGTCTGTTGTAGGGTGGTTTTTGATAAGTTTTTCTAAAAAAAATACTTTCCAAGATCTACCTTGGGGTTTTAGCAGCACAGAATCTGCCTCCACTACTGTTCTTTTCTGCCTTAGTCACAGCAGTGAACTCTTCTGCCTTTTATTGTTCCAGTCGCGAGACTGGAAAGTAGGAGACCTGTAGGGGAATTCTGGTGTCACCTGCTGCAATGGGCCACACAGAGTAGGAAT